AGTAGCTCACTCGCTCATCGTTTGAATCAAATAATCGTCTTCATATGCATTGTTTCAAACTTCTTTCGTCTTCACATCGATTTGCAACAGTCTACAGGGTGTTCCAAAAATGTCTCGCAATCCGGAAATGGCGGGTTCCTCGGATCATTTGAAGCAACTTCTTCTTTTACAAAAATTTTCTCCGAGGCACCGTTAACGAGTTATCAACGAAAAACAGTGACCAATAAGAATCGAGTACGGCTGACGCGAGGCGGCCCAGCCAACCAGCGCGCGAAGCCCAGTTCCGCTCATTGGCTCGATCGCCTTGCGCCAGCTGAGCTTGCCTCTCATTGGTCACTGTTTTTCGTTAATAACTCGTTAACGGTGCCTCGGAAAAAATTTTTGTGAAGGAAAAAGTTGCTTCAAATGGCCCGAGGAACCCGCCACTTTCGGATTGCGAGACATTTTTGGGACACCCTGTATATACAGTATCAGACTCTGCCGTCCAGAGAGATAGCCTCGCGCAGAATTCAGTCGTACCTAAAAGGTTAAAATTTCTTATTTCAGACGTCAAAACAACATCCAGTTGTTTCTTCTTTAAGATGTCTTTAAAACGTAAATGATGTCGCAACGACATGGCGCGACGTCCAGTTCGAGACATCTTTAAGACGTCAAAACAATGTCTGGTTCGAGACATTTTTACGACATCAAAACGACGTCCAGTTCGAGACGTCTTCGAAACGTCAGAACGACAACTAGTTCGAGATGTCTTTAAGACGTCAAAACGACGTCCAGTTCGAATCATTATTAAAACGTCTTAAATTAGTAACGTATCTACGATACATGGATCCGTTTTAACACGAGATATGCATCTTGTCGGTCGGAACACAGTGTAATATTCTGCAAACAATGCGTTCGAAATTACCCTTAGGAAAGAATGTAAGGCTGCCGTATCTGGTAATTAAGCACGCAGTTACTTGTCAAGCAAGCCATTTTTCACGAAACGAATCATGTAATACCGTCTGTGCCCGTTGAATAAAGTGGGCTTAGCATCTATCATGCTAATATCACGTAAGATGACAGGTGTACAATGCCGTACCTTGTAGCAGTGCTAAAAATATTTGCAAGGCAAATGCTGTAATTTCTTCTCCACCGCGAAAGCTATCAATGAAGTACAATGCTCGAGATTGCATGAGTTCGGTGCATAGTAAGCTTGCTTTCGATCCCTATTGTTTGCTTATTTCTCTGAACCGGTAATTACTAACTAATTATATCAACTAATAGGATTTTTCTATGTATCGTTCGTAAAATCTGTCTGCATCGTTTTGTCATATTTCTTAAAACATCTAATGAGACAACTATACTCGATTTTTTATAAATATGTATTTGCGTGAAAATATTTTGCAATACCATCGAAACGCTTGTCCAAACAAAATAAATTCGGTCTCGTGTAAATAGTAGCACAGCAGAGAGCTGACTCTATATAGAAAAATAAATCCAGAGCAGAGAGCGAAATTTCGTTTAAAAATATTTTATTTTTAAGATAATCGGCTTTGGATCATTGCAATACGCGCGGTATTCATAATTATTGAATCGCAGATTTTGTGTATTGCGCGTAGTCTCGATAATCTAAGGCTTAATATAATCAAAGTGTTGATATAGCAACCGAACTTCCTTTAATTCCATATTTAAAAAAATCAGTGCATGGAAATTTTTATAGAAAAATCTGCAGTCCGTAAATAGAATTGCACAGCTATAAATAAACTGTGAATTTCACGCATTTGATACAAAACTGAGAAAATTAAAAATAAAACGCTGAGAACATCAGTAAAATGCATTAAATGTAGAGTTATTTAAAAATAATTATAATTCTGAACTAAATGCAATGATTCTTCTTATTGCAGTCATGAATATATATATATATATATATATATATATATATATATATATATATATATATTAATCGATTTCCACTTAATAACAAGCGAGTGAAAAAAAATACTTTAACACTAAACCTACCGCGGTCAAAATGACCGTTTTCTTATTTACGCAATTCTGCAAACTTTGGAGACTCTTTCATGGAAAATGCTCGAATAAATTACATTATTGGAAAAAGTTTTCTAATAAAAATTTTACAAAATCTAGATAAATTCGATATTTCCACTTTTATGAAGCAACCCACGCTAGTTTCTATTACCACTTGGTAGGTTCAGTGTTAAACCTTAACACTAGATTTACGAAGCAGAAAAACCAGCTGTTTTATATTAGTTTATAAAAGTAACATAAAGATATTTATCCTGATCTTTAACAAGTGTGATTGTAACATTCGCCGTAAGTAACGTATAAATTGAATAAATAACTCGTAAATGCATCTGTACGATATGAATGATCGTAAATGAAAAAATTAGTGACCCGTCATTTTGACGTGCTCCGTAAATCTAATGTCAATAAACAAATACTTTAAACTTTAACATCCGAGTTTTTGAAAACTACTCACTAAGATATATCGTTTATAAAATAAATATATTAGTTTCTACGTGCCAAATGAAATATAACACGTGTTGAGGGTGACAAGAAGATGGAAATTTACGCGAGGTAGTAACTTCTAAATCCACTTAAGCTAGAAGCAGTTATGCAATAATATTTACGGTAGACTATAATTTATAAGGTGTAAAACATGATTCTCCGTTCTCGATTTATCTTTTCGCGCAGAATCACCTGTGTTCCGATCGCAGCCGTCCGAGAAATCTTCCAAAAATCGACGCTCGCACTAGCCAGCATCAAATAATAGAGGCACCCAATCACACGGAAAAAATATACTCACCAATCACAGTGAGGTTAACCTTCTGATTTCGCGTCGGGCTATTTTTGTAATCCACCCTGCACCTGTACACCCCCGCGTCGCTCGTTTCCAAGGGATCGATCTCCAATTTCGCAGGCTCCACTTTTGTTCTCATAGTTGCCCTTTTACCGAATACGTATGGATCTGACCAGAGCCTCGCCTCTTTTATCGATTTGCCGCGAGCATCCACGCTGTATATCGGTTCGCCATCCCTTTCGCCTTTGTACCAAAAAACCATGCTCACTTCCTCGCTTCCGGTTGAGAGATCAATGTCGCAAGGTATTTGAGCTTTGAAGCCAGCCACTGCCGACACGTCTAGTATAGGAACTGAAAACATCGTGAAACAATGCTGTTATTATTCGTCTCTGTTATGCCGACGCGAACAATGCTGTTCGAACGAAAATATTTAAACAACGCGATGAAACAATTATTTGCAATCGCAGTGTCTTATATCTATAAGATATCTATAAAATAACCTATGGACTATATATTAGGTCTACCGGAAACTTCTGTCCGATAGTGTCGCTTCAAGTTTCAATCCATATGCACATGTTGATTTGAGACATATACGACTATCTCTCTTTATCATTGCATTCACACACATGTACTCTCCTAAATCAACTGAAACAAAGATGTCTCGTGTCATTATTAAGCGAAACGCGATCGTGAAAACATGGCTACCGATGATAATGCCAGGTCACATGCTGCTTTGGCGACTCGTCAGAAAATCGCAGAGCTAGGCTGGCAAATTCTGTCGCATCCACCATACTCCCCAGACCTAGCACCCTCCGATTATCACTTGTTTCTCTCTTTGCAAAACTTTTTACAGGAAAAAAATTCAAAACTGAAGCTGATGTCAACCAAGCACTAGTTGAGTTCTTCGCCTCTAAAAATAAATCATTTTTTAAAAATGGCATTTACAAGTTGCCATCGCGCTGACAAGAAGTCATAAGTAACGATGGAAAGTATATTCTACAATAAATATTATTAAATGTATGAAAATTGTGTTATATTTCAATTCAGAAACGGACAGAACTTTCCAGTAGACCTAATATTAAGAGCTATTACGCAAAACTCGAATCACGTCAAGTCCTTCACGTCTTGAACGTAAAAAGGTACTAATGAAATACCACTTTCATCAAAGCCCTGCTTAGAAGCAATATGTACACTTAGATGTAATGGTACATGTCATTTAACATCGCAAGTATTTTATTAAATTCCGCAAATGAATTTATTGATATTGAGAAACATCAGCGACCAAAATTAACCAGTTATAAAATATAAAGGAATTTAGGTAGTTATTATAGAGACTAGTGTGATACTTATAATAGGGAGTCCCAAAATCGGTGGTACAATCGAGGAGGAGGTGATTCTACGTAAAAAATCAAATCGAAAGTAAAGAACAAAATTTTTTCAGTTGAGGCTTCGTCGTCGTGAAAATCGACTCTGAATATTCTACATTTTTAATAATTTTTGCATTTATAAAGTATAAGTTAGTAACTAAATTACATGTCTTATTGTTATTTTAATCCACCCTAAATTCATAGAAAGAAATGAGTACAGTAATAAATGTAAAATGGACAACTTGGGAAGAGGAGATACGATTGTTCGAGCTTTGCACCTCGTTTTTATAATGGTTGATAATTTGCAACTATAAAAACGAGCCATAAGACTCGATCGATCGTATCTCCTCTTCCCAAGTTGTTCATTTCTGTTTATATATTGAGTGACAATTGGTTGAGTTCTTCGCCTCTAAAAATAAATCATTTTTTAAAAATGGCATTTACAAGTTGCCATCACGCTGGCAAGAAGTCATAAGTAACGATGGAAAGTATATTCTACAATAAATATTATTAAATGTATGAAAATTGTGTTATATTTCAATTCAGAAACGGACAGAACTTTCCAGTAGACCTAATATTAAGAGCTATTACGCAAAACTCGAATCACGTCAAGTCCTTCACGTCTTGAACGTAAAAAGGTACTAATGAAATACCACTTTCATCAAAGCCCTGCTTAGAAGCAATATGTACACTTAGATGTAATGGTACATGTCATTTAACATCGCAAGTATTTTATTAAATTCCGCAAATGAATTTATTGATATTGAGAAACATCAGCGACCAAAATTAACCAGTTATAAAATATAAAGGAATTTAGGTAGTTATTATAGAGACTAGTGTGATACTTATAATAGGGAGTCCCAAAATCGGTGGTACAATCGAGGAGGAGGTGATTCTACGTAAAAAATCAAATCGAAAGTAAAGAACAAAATTTTTTCAGTTGAGGCTTCGTCGTCGTGAAAATCGACTCTGAATATTCTACATTTTTAATAATTTTTGCATTTATAAAGTATAAGTTAGTAACTAAATTACATGTCTTATTGTTATTTTAATCCACCCTAAATTCATAGAAAGAAATGAGTACAGTAATAAATGTAAAATGGACAACTTGGGAAGAGGAGATACGATTGTTCGAGCTTTGCACCTCGTTTTTATAATGGTTGATAATTTGCAACTATAAAAACGAGCCATAAGACTCGATCGATCGTATCTCCTCTTCCCAAGTTGTTCATTTCTGTTTATATATTGAGTGACAATTGGTTGAGTTCTTCGCCTCTAAAAATAAATCATTTTTTAAAAATGGCATTTACAAGTTGCCATCACGCTGGCAAGAAGTCATAAGTAACGATGGAAAGTATATTCTACAATAAATATTATTAAATGTATGAAAATTGTGTTATATTTCAATTCAGAAACGGACAGAACTTTCCAGTAGACCTAATATTAAGAGCTATTACGCAAAACTCGAATCACGTCAAGTCCTTCACGTCTTGAACGTAAAAAGGTACTAATGAAATACCACTTTCATCAAAGCCCTGCTTAGAAGCAATATGTACACTTAGATGTAATGGTACATGTCATTTAACATCGCAAGTATTTTATTAAATTCCGCAAATGAATTTATTGATATTGAGAAACATCAGCGACCAAAATTAACCAGTTATAAAATATAAAGGAATTTAGGTAGTTATTATAGAGACTAGTGTGATACTTATAATAGGGAGTCCCAAAATCGGTGGTACAATCGAGGAGGAGGTGATTCTACGTAAAAAATCAAATCGAAAGTAAAGAACAAAATTTTTTCAGTTGAGGCTTCGTCGTCGTGAAAATCGACTCTGAATATTCTACATCTTTAATAATTTTTGCATTTATAAAGTATAAGTTAGTAACTAAATTACATGTCTTATTGTTATTTTAATCCACCCTAAATTCATAGAAAGAAATGAGTACAGTAATAAATGTAAAATGGACAACTTGGGAAGAGGAGATACGATTGTTCGAGCTTTGCACCTCGTTTTTATAATGGTTGATAATTTGCAACTATAAAAACGAGCCATAAGACTCGATCGATCGTATCTCCTCTTCCCAAGTTGTTCATTTCTGTTTATATATTGAGTGACAATTGGTTGAGTTCTTCGGCTCTAAAAATAAATCATTTTTTAAAAATGGCATTTACAAGTTGCCATCACGCTGGCAAGAAGTCATAAGCAACGATGGAAAGTATATTCTACAATAAATATTATTAAATATATGAAAATTTTGTGTTATATTTCAATTCAAAAACGAACAGAACTTTCCTAGGTAGACCTAATATATATCCTTATTCATTTGCACAATAAATTGTGTCAACACGTTCGCTACCATAATCTCGCGTTCACTATCTCTCAGCTTTTCACACAAAGATAGTAAAATTCATTTAAAGTCGTTTATATACTACTATTTAAAGTCATAGCACAGAACGTGATATTCACTTTGCCGAAGTGTTTTAATAATAAAAGAGATACGTTGCGTTCGACAAAGCAATTTAGCAGACGGCGATAAGCGTTAAAACTAACGCTGGCAGCCGACGACGCGTTAAAGAGTGAACCATTTGTGTGCTGAACGTGTTCGGATAACGGAGCGTTCTAACAACACATCGGTTAGATAATTGATAAATCGAAGCTGAACTTTATGTGAACAGTTATACGTTATTGTTTCCACAGCGGGGCGTCAATGGACGTAATAATGTTGTTTTAAAGTCGATGTTTCAAGCCCGCAACTGCTTTTACACCGGCCAAATATATTCCCGGCGACTGTGTGCACAACAGTCTCCCGTGAACGATAGTGCGCTATCGAAACATAGTAGTCAATAGGTTACATTTCTTTTTGTTCTACTGCATTTTGATTTTAAACGCAGCCGATTGCGCGTGATCTGCACGCATGACTGGCCCGCAACACAGGGAATACTCGAGTAATTGGTTCAATTGTTACACGCTGAACGCTTTGTGTTCGGATAACGCAAGTTGCAGCGTACAGCATTTATTTGGATCCTGTATGTGGACGCAACGCGAAAAGCAGGCAACGTTTTCTCTAACACACGAACCGATTTCATACCAAATTCTTCAAAAGCCTAAGAGAGAACATTTTACATTGTTTAGTACGTTTTATGCAGAGATGCAAATGTGGAATAATTTGTTCCTTTTTTATATTTGTTGGCTAGTATGACGAATACTAGCAGAAGAATCATTTGTATTGTATTTACAATGATGATCCACAAAAATGTTCGTACACCTTTTAAAACGCAATAATTACTTCAAAACTGAACCAAATGACTTGAATTTTTTTAATGATAGAAGGACTAGTCTAGTAGACGATGGTTAAACCGTCATTTTAAACTTTTTTATCTGAGCCTATAACGAAAATTTAAGAACTGCCCTTCGTAGATCTCGGTAACTTATTAAATTTGATCAAAATCGGTTAACCCAGAGTCGAGCTTCACAAAAACTGTGATTTTTGCGATCTTCAATTTGTTGTAACTCATAACAACGTGAAATGATTTTGATAAAACTTTCAACATGCATATAAGTCACCAAGATCTACGAAAGACATTTTTTAAACTTTCGTAATAGTTTTTATCTTTTTTTTTTGTCATTACAAGTAATAGCTAAATTAAAGTAAAAAGCATTTCAATCATCGTCTAGTGGATTAAAAAATTCAATTCATTAAATTCAGTCTAAAAATAGTTATTGCATTTTAAAAGGTGTACGAACATTTTTGTGGGCCAGTTTGAAATTCAAGCAAAAGTGACGTTTTGTCACTTTATTCGTATTTCGCTCAATTTATTCGTATTTCTTCCGTTTGAATAAACGTTTTTCTTGGTTTACAATGTTTACTAAGATACGAATATTACACATCGATAAACTATTACGCTTGCTTACGTGGAAAGAAACGTTCACAAAATGTTGAATTAACTATGTTGGCGGATATGAAAGTGTCAATTCCGCG